TGCTCACCATTCAATCTGACTTTTTTTACGAGTGTTGAGATCTCCTTCTTAACTGAGGATTTTTCGGCTGCTAAACCAACCGACAATTGCCGATCACGCAAGCAAAGGTCAAAGACTTCTTTGACCTAGAAAACGAGCCTGACAATTAAATAATCAATTTTAAATCACTACTTGTAAAGATTGTTTATGACTACTGGAAAGATATTAAATTGATTTCATAAACTAATATTACCTCCAAAGCCAAGTCCCTAGTAGGGGACAACACCATAGCCCTAAGTTTTCTATCCTAAGTTCTCCTAGTAGACAACATTTTAACAATTACCAGAACGTATGCAAGAGTTTTCCCACTACCTTCGGTGCTTGCACGGAAACTCATGCAAATATCACGATTAAAACAGCCATGTCATATATAGTCTCCTCCCAGACTCAACTTAAGTGACACCATTCTTTTCCAAAAAACGTGACCATCGCAGCCTAACAAAAGACAAATATCGGATCAGCAAAAAATAATCAACAACATAAAAATAAACCGAAAACAGAACATATAATTAGGTGGAAACTGACGAGCATTGAAAACCACTATGGGCAACTGGACATAGCTCGGTGGATATGTCAACGTATAGTGGATCCCTCATCCAATCGTTGACCATGGTTTCTCGTTAAAATCGACCAGAAAGATGAAATCAGTCGAAAGAATCGACCAATGCAAACCATAAAATCGATAAAGTTACATGTGTGTGTGCACGCGTGAGAGAGACAAGATGTCGTAAATTGAAAGAAGAACCATCCACCGGTGGTCCGATATAGTGGATCCCTCATCCAATCGTTGACCATGGTTTCTCGTTAAAATCGACCAGAAAGATGAAATCAGTCGAAAGAATCGACCAATGCAAACCATAAAATCGATAAAGTTACATGTGTGTGTGCACGCGTGAGAGAGACAAGATGTCGTAAATTGAAAGAAGAACCATCCACCGGTGGTCCGATGCAAACCGGGAGAGATAATCAGAACGCATTATTCTACTTGTTTCGGATTTCTCCATTTATAAAGAAACACGAAGCTTACATGTTGTATCCTCCCGCTTGCTCTTCTTTCCCTTCGCGCCAGAAACGGGTACAGAGTAAGAATATTTCATATAATCTAGAAGATTTCACTAAATTTGACACCGCAAGGATGGTTGTAAGAAGATTCTTCATTCTTTGTCTTTGTTGGGGGCGGTTGTAATTACTCATGGTTTTCGTACTTCACCGTATATTTTCCCTAAATAAATAAATAAAATAGCAAAGCCTTTTTAATTTTAGTTGGGCCTTCAATAAAGTTAGCTGCATTGGCCCAATCCAATATTTACCCACATCACCCTGGCCCAACCGTCTTCAGAAATATCACCTTTGCATATCAGAGAGAAGGGCAGAACCAGAGGAAAATGAAATTCTCCTTTTTCGGGCAATTCACGAAGGGAAAGAAGAGCAAGCGTGAGTAGATACGGATCAAGAACAGGCAAATCACGAACATGTAAACTTCGTGTTTTTTGAAAAAATGGAGAAATCTGAAACAAGTAGAATAATGCTAACAGGGAAATATATTATAAAATATAAAAAATGACATATATCTGCGAAGACCCCGGTTTTTTGTTAAATGGTGAGTTGTGAACATATATCGGCGGGGAAGGCCGTCTGGTTGGTGGATCTGACCGCCGGTTGACCGGATCTGTTGGCAGGAGGCCGGAAATCGAGAGAAAAAGTGGGTGGAATATAAAGGAGAAACAATAAGAGTAAAGGAGAGAAAAATAAGAAGGCCTACTGCAGATTGACTAAGTGAGAGAGAGAGAGAGAGAGAGTGAGGGGAATTACCATAACCAAATAAGAGAGGCAAAAAGGGGTGCTGCTGCGTGAAGGTGTAGACACGAGAGATGGTAAAGAAAGTGGTGTAAAAAGGAGAGGAGAGAGAGAGAAAAGCGAAATTCGAAAAAATAAATAAATTAAAGGGTAAATAGCACTTAACCCCCTGTGGTTTCCATGTTGTGCACTTTACCCCCCTCTGATATCAATTTGGTCATTTTACCCCCTTGTGGTTGACAAGTTGTAGCGACCGTTTGATATACCGTTAAAGTTAACAGAAAATGTTAAATATCTGAACTACCCCATTATATTTCTTTTTATAAATAAATAAAAATTCAATTGGATTAAATTAGAAATAACACAAAATTGTAGGACTAAAGTACCATTATCAGAATTGCTTCTTCTCCTCCCCTTCAAATCCTCTTGAACTGTTCGAGACCCATTCAACAAAATAACATTCCAAGAAAACTCAGAAAATTACATACAAGAAACAGAGGAAAAAGCCCAAAGATTTCATGTAAAAAACCACTGTTCGAGTTTTTTTTTCTTCTCGGGCGAACATCTCAGATTCCTAGGGTTTGGTGAGCTTGGCCAAGAGAGAATCGAAGACTGCTAATGAAGAGAAGATTCAGAGGAGGTTGTCGGAACCTGGGCTGGAAATGCTCGGTAAATTAATGAGCAGAATGAGGTGAAGGTGGCGGCGGCGGCGGCGGTGGTGGGGCCGGCGGCGATGAATTAGCGCTGGCGTTTCTGCTGCTGACGGCGGCGGCGAGGAGTTTGTTGTCGGCGCAGGGGATTCATTTCTATTACTTGGATTCGTTTTCAGGGGCTGTCTTTTTTGGTGTTGGGATTGAATTTGATTTGGGAGCAAGTCACCTATTATTATTTTTATTTTTTTTTCGTTTTGTATTTTTGATTAGGCAATCAGCCATTATTTAAACCTTATTTGTAAGGGCATCTCCAATCATTTACAATTTCACCTGCTATCAGCTAAAAAAAGAAGGTTATAGCATTTTATAAGCAAAAAACTCACTCCAACGGGACATGTATAATTTAGCTAGCAAGCTAAATTCTGGTTTACAGCTGCTATGTATAGCTGGTGAGTATTCACAAATGCTAAACAAGATAATATTAAAATAATGGCCACTAAGTTTTACTGTTCAAATTCTTTCCCTTTTTTATATGATAAAATACTGACAGTACATACACATGACAATAAAATAATTCAAAAAACAATATAATAATATAAAATTGTAAAATATACATGCTATGGTTGGAATGAGATTGTAAAACACACGTGGTATAAACACTATTGACTAGCTATAATACATATACCAACTCACATTTTAGCTATTACCTTTGGAGATGCTCTAACTGATTTTTTAGGGATTTTCTTTCTAATTTTTTAATTGATTTATTATATATATATATATATATATATGTATATGTATATATATATATGTATATATATATATGTATATATATATATGTATATATATATATAATATAATTTTATTTTTTAGCATTAGTTGTAAATTTGTTTTCGTCCCATAGCCCATAACATAGCAGATAATGATTATTAGCTGTAAAAGAGTTTATATATGTATTTAAACAGTAATTAATCTAAAATTAAAAAAATTATGTAGTATAGAATTTAAAAAATCTATTTTGTTTTTTTAATTAAAAGAAACATGAGAGATTGGTGTAGGGGTTTTTATTGAAGAAAAAGGGGCAATATGGATATTATCAGAAATTTTAGCTTGCAAAACCATCAACCACTCCAATTTTGGGCGAGTGAGATGCACTTGGCATTAACTTTAACGGATTATTAGACGGCCGCTACAAACTGACAACCAAAGAGGGGTTAAGTGCTTAAATTGATATCAGAGGGGGGTAAAGTGCACAACGTGGAAACCACAGGGGGGTTAAGTGCTATTTACCCTAAATTAAATAAGAATGAAATAGGTGTCTAACAAAATAATAAAGACTCTAAAAAAACTAATAAAGTAAAAGATAGTGAAATGTATAAAAATATAGAAAAATAGTATATTTTAAAGTATTTTAAAATGGTAATTTTGTTTATAGTTGTTTTGAATGACATTTTTTTAGTTCTATTTATTAGCACATAATTTGCAATGAACTTTGCTCAGATTAGGTCTTGATTATTTTATGGGCTGAGATAGGTTGTTTATTAATATGTATGATTGTTTATTAATTTCATCTCAAGTGGTTGATGAATCAGAAACGTCATTCCCGGAGGCATATAGAGAGTGGGCGCCTGCTGTCTGTTAGTTGGCGAGCTCTACGAATTAAGAACCCTGTGACTTGTAAGTTTTGCTTATAATGTTGTGTTTATTTCATGTTATAGCTGCTGGATGATTCATTAATCTTTTTTTTCTCTCTCGGCCGTGCTATTGGAAGAGAGTTTAAGAGTCGTAAGCCACTCAAGCCTTTGATCAAATGAGTCTTTGACATTAGGAAATAACCGATCTAAGGTGTCGAGGAAGAAAATCGCTCGTATGTTAATATGTTTGAGGAGATTACATATGATTTTATTTTATTTAAAAAACCGAAAACGAAAATGACAGTTAACGCACATTGTCACGGAGTTCATTTAACAACGAACCGTGCGTCCTTAAACTTGTATTTTGAATGTGTTGTTTTATTGAATGCTTACACATAAAGTCCCTAATCCTATTTATACTAGGTCCACCTTCTTAATGGACGTTGGAGATCTATTTAATTTAATAGCACTCCAAAAAATTCCTACAAAATATCTAACCTTTCTAGAAAGCTTTCTAAAATCTTCGAAGCATCTCTACCAAAAATATAATTAATGCCGTAAAATTTAAATTTTAGTTATTATTAATTAGTCACCAAACATCTTACATTAAAATTATTATGAATTGCTTGAAGACCACCTTCTGCATCAACCCAATCCAACATTCTCGATGCGTAATGGGTCGTACCCATCCAAGTCTCTTTACAGTTAAAAGGATAATAATAGACCACATAAAACACACTAAAAAACTAAAAAAAACACTGTTAAAACTACAACTGTAATTCTGAACTAATAAGTTATTACATCAAAAAAAAAAACAATTAACTAATTATCAGAAAATTGTATGCTGGACCAATCAAAAAGGCTCCACGTCATCAACTCATCTGCTGTTGTCTTGGTAATCTGGGTTCTTTCTGTATGATGTTTAATAGCTTTTGCACAATCTCAGACATAGGTGGTCTAAATTCCGGCTCAGCCTATCTCACCAAAAATAAATAATTAAAAATAAATAAATAATGATGATATAGCATAAATAACCATATCTCATTCAAACAGAAACTACAAGATTGAATGTAAAAGAAAAATAAATTTAAATACCTGAATGCATAAAGAAATAATATCCGCGACCCGTGACAGAGACTTGGATGGGTACGATCCGTTTAGCGAAGGATCAACCATTCTCGACAATGCATCTATATCGTACAGCTGCGAATATGCCCATCTAACTAGATATTGCTCCCCTCGTGGACGTAACCTAAATGTTTATTCATTTGTAAATGCAACCTTGTATTTTTTCGTTTATAAATATCGGAGAAATTACGTTTCTAGAAGTTTCTCAAACCTGTCGTACGATTTTCGCCCCGTTAGAAGTTGCAGCATCACAACTCCGAAGCTATAAACATCGCTATGGTGAGAATAGCTTCCTAACTCGAGTTCTGGAGCACCGTAACCGGAACCTTGCAACTAGTAGAAAAAAAAGAATAGTATGTAAAAATTAAAAAATTAAAAAATTAAAAAAACTTCAATTTATGATTTATGAATAGAAGATTTATTGTTATTATTATGATTACCTGAGCCATGGAATTAGTCGAGAGCAAAGGAGACAAACCACAATCAGAGACTCGTACGGTGAGATCATCTTCTAGAAGCACATTACACGACTTGAAGTTCCGATGCACGATAGGTGGCTGACACACCTCATGCAAATATCTTCAAGAAAACAATCAATTAAAATTTCGACGAATATAATTTTATATTACAAAAAAAAATATGCGACGTACTCGAGGGCTTTTGCAGCTTGAAGGGCCAAACGCATGCGAGCATTCCAAGAAAGTTTCTTATTGATCTCGTCATCCGTATTTAGTGCTTCGTCAAGTGTCCCGTTTCTGCAGTAACTGTAGACAAGGAGGCGTTGACCGTGCTCGAGGCAATAACCTAAAAAGTCAACTATATTCTCATGCTTTATTTTAGAGACACTCGTCACCATCTCAACGAACTCTCGATCACTTACATTCGCCGATACTGCCTTATCCAGTTTCTTGATTGCAATAACCTAACAAACCATACGATAATACATTTCCTCACACACTAAAATTAAGAAAAAAAAAATTATATATATATATATAAGACATTTTTACCCTTCCATCGGGAAGCCGGCCTCTGTAAACTGCACCAAGCATGCCTTGACCGATAAGATTTTCTTGAGAAAAGCTATTCGTGCACTGCTGAAGAGATGCAATCGTAAATAGCTTTGAAGATTCCACAATCTTGGACGAATTTGCCCTTGCGGTCGACGGGGTAAAAGTGGGGTCCGCAACAATTCTTTCCGCAGGAAGTAAAGGAAACGGAAGTGGGCTCGTCTGTAGATCACTATTGTCATCCAATCCCTTCATATCTATACTGTGACTATGATTACGATTATCTCCCTTCAAATTCACTTGCTTCGAAGCTGCTTCGAACCGACGAAAAGAGTTTTGCGAAGAATGATCTTGCTTGTGGGTCCCGGTGAGAGTTTCCTCACTCGACCCTCGTCTCTTACAGCAACATGTGGACATGGAAAGGCATAGGCCTAGGGCAAGTGCCACCAGGGCAAACAACCCCGCGATAACAATCCATGTGGTCATGTTCGATGCGTGTTTCTTCGATTCACTTCTTCCGGAATCTGGTAACGGAGATGCCGATGGTCCAGGTGGACCGTCGAACGATTGAGGCGAGGGTGCGTCGGAAGGGGATAAAGGAGATAAGGCAGGTGGAGAAGGTATGATGCTAGTGTTGAAAGGGTTTCCATCGCCCCTGCACCGTAAAAGAAACTAAGTAGTAAAGAAATTGGAACGAGATTTATAGACCAGACGAAAATAGAAATGAAGTATGGTTTCACCTGAAATCGGGAATATTTAGCAGATTGTTTGGTATAGGCCCGGAGAACTGGTTATTTTCGATGTTCCTGTAATATATTCAATAAATTCGATAAGAATGTGTATATAGTAACGGTGAGTGTAATATATCGAGTTTGTATATATATATATATAGTACAGTACAAGTCATTGAGCGGAAGATATTGAAGAACATCGAGCACTCCGGAAAGCAGATTGTTCTCCAAATTCCTACATGCAACTTCCAAGGTATTAAATAAAATATAATTGGGAATCTGAAATATCAAAGAATCTTTTTTACTGGGAAGAGGAGCAAACGTTTTGATGAGTTCGTCAAAGTTTCAAACAAATACTAGAGAATGTTACTTACAAAGTTTTCAGAGATGACAAATTCCCCATCGAAGGAGGAAGCGCACCGCTCAAAGTGTTCCCCGATAAATCCCTGCATGTATGCATGCATTGTTAATCTAAACAAATCAAACAACTTTCGTCGAACAAGATTTTACGAATGCTAATATCACTATGAACAAATAAGAAAATCCCTACAGGTTAATCAAACTCGTAAGCGGTTCAAAGGCATCTGGAATTGGTCCCGTAAATTGGTTATTGTTCAGAAACCTGAAAATACGTTACAAAATGCTCAGTTAACTTGTTAGTTGAATTTCTTTCGTCATTTGTAATAACGAAAAATCGGGAATTACAACTTACAGCTCTGTCAATTGGGTCGATGAAGATATACTGCCTGGGATAAGACCAGTAAATTGATTATCTGAAAGGTAACTACGGGTTTGCAGTTTCCCAAAAGGAGACAAACGTTATCAGGCAGATACATATTTAGAGACAATGTCTGTATCTATAATAATTTCACTTAAGGAAGCGAAGTTTAGGTTTAGAGAAACATACAAACTCCTTAGAGTAGTCGGCAAGTTGGCTGGTATACCGCCTCCAATTTGGTTGTTACTGAGATCTCTGCTTACGAGAGTGAATTCAATTCCGTAAAATTGCAGCAAATTATTGAATAAAAAGCGGCCACTTTTATTTGATAAATATGGACTCACATTTGAATAATCGAGGCAAATGATGCCAAACCTTCGCTCAATAAACCGCCCAAATTCAAGCTATCCAGTTTTCTGCGAACCGGACGAAGACAAATTCGATAAACAAAAACAGCCCCGTTTTTCTATGTAACTACTACATCGGAAAAAACAAGAAGTGGTATAAATAAATCATTACATTGCAGTTATATTTCCGTACACGCACGACACCCCTTGCCAACTTACGGGCCCACATGGATCTCCTCCGAGGATCCATCCAGGAAGTAACGGGGAGCCCAACGAAGCATACAACTCGCTTATCGCATAAACTGACAAAACGAAGAAAAAAAAAACAGAGTTTTTTAGGGCAATTTCACTATAAACTGACTCGTTCCGACAATATAACTACCGCGATCGTTATCGCACGATTCGTAAAATTTTGAAACCGAATTAAATTAATTATACCACAGTTCACAAGTAAGACAAAGCAGCACCACATTAATCTCAAGCAATCAAGATTCATGACCAAATAAGGACAAATGAATGAGCACAAAAAGAAAACGGAGAAATATTTAACGGCGTTTACCATCACGAGGGTCCGTTACTCCCCAGGCGAGGGATAAGGCAGATGAAATAACGAAAACCCCAACAACCCACGTACGAATCTTACAATCCAAACAAGCCATCGCCATTTTATAACCACCACCCCCACCCCCACACAAACTAAAGATTCCGTAAAACCCCCCTCACGAATCTGCAACTACAAAAAAAAACAACAAAACAACTACAATTATTCACTCGAACCAAGAATTCTTGAAAAACATACACTGTCAAAGAAAAATAAAGGTTAATCGCAAACTTCATTATTAAGCGAGTTTTAAGTGGGGAGTGGGGGTGGGGTGGGGGAGTTCAAAAGGCAATAAAGAACTAACCTTTAACCGGTAATACGAAAATTACGAATTCCGAGATTCTTGTAAAATCAGGCGAAATAAAAAATGGCGATGAATGATTCAATTTGAGTAGAGAAAAGGGTGTGAGAAAAAGTTGGCTTGGTGCTTGCTTCTGATTCTTGATTATTTTTTTATCCCTTATAAAGCGGGCATTTAGAGAGAGAGAGATGAAAAAGCATTGAGTGTGTGTATCTTTTGATAATAAAGAAGTTTTATACTAACAGGCAAAGCAAAAGGATTACTACAAAATGATTTGTATTCAATTCTTCTTTTTTCATTGAAACAGGTAATCATGAGATGGTGTTGGTTTTTTTTTTTAATTCAAAATTTATTTTAATATATTAATTTGAATAAAATAGTTTCCGTGTACCGTTGAACCATGGTGAAGGAATGACACGGCGGAAAATTTGGGTTTGGGCTTTTTTTTAGGCCCAGCCCGTTATGCAAAAGAAAATATTAATGATCTTTGCTGTAATTAATTAATTGAAAAATGTGTTACTTGTTTTTCCTAATTTGTCATTATTTTTTTCCTTTTTATTTATTTAATTTATTTTTGCCTTTAACAAAAGGTGAGCTGTCGTAGTCTCTTTACATGGGATGTACAAGTTAATAATGAGACAATTCACTTTTGAGACAATTTAGAATGACCCACAAAATTGAACCACCACTATTTTGCTGCTACAAAATTAAGCAATAACGTAGTCAATTGTCATCAAATTAAAAAAAAAAAACAAAAAAAAGGAAAAGGTGTATAAACTTTATAGGGAGTCCAGTCACACAACTTTAATTACATATAAAATAAAATAATTGTTTCTGAGTTGGTAAATAAATTGTTGTTTTCTTAAGCGCAAATTACGGTCAATTCCTTTAAGTATGACCAAATTATAACAAAATTCTTATTTTTTGGATAATTACATTCGCCCTCCTTTTAAATATATTTACATAAAATTTATTATTTACCGAACCAAATCGTATATTTGGTTTGATAAACAGTATGAAATGTTGGCGTACTGAAATTTTGGTTAAGTTTTACCGATTCAACATCCCTAAATTTAGCGGCTGTAATTACCCAAACATGACGGGAACTTTTCGTAATTTGACCACAATTCAGGGTAGGTCATATTTTTCCCTTTTATTTTTAACGATATAGGAATGCTCCCGGCGCATACGATACTAAACCCAAGCGAGTCCATTTGCCCCCTCCAATATTGTTACAAAGGGTTCATGGACGTTGACGCACGCTAGTCTGCGGTGGTTGAGTCAAAGAGACGACACCTTGCAAGAATATAAATCGAACCCAGGTCCGAAGCTCCCCGTGTGGAACAAACCCGGTTCGGGCTCAGCTTATGTAGGCACCGGTCCGCGGATCATGGCATTTCCGGGTCCTTATGATTTATTGGGCTCTTGGCCTATTAACCTAAGTATAGTTGGTTCGGTCCATTGGTTGAAAATTGAAATTAACTTATTACATTCACCAAATTATATCAATGTTTTTGAAAATTGTGACAAGCCCATAATATATACAATAGTCGACACATTTTTTGGGCCAAAAGCCTTTTATAAAATTGGGCTAAAATCTAAATATAATATTTTTTTAATCACTAATTATTATAAAGAGAATAATTAGAATGGGGGATGCTCCGATTTAGTATTCGACTTGACAACTGAGAATTGATTTAATATACTGAGATGCCAAGCAGATGTGGGGCCCACTAATTGGTCCAATTATTAAAAAAAAAAAGTGCAGTTAATAATCGAGATCATGAAATCATGGTAGATAGATATGCCACATTTTTTATCCACACTGTGTCAGATTCTTTTGCTTCAACCAGCTTCACAAATTCCCAATCAATACTTTCACTAAAATTACTTCTCAACTCTGCTCCAGTCAGTAATTTTATTTATTTTTTTATTTATTTATATATAATTATGACTCTATTATTATTATAGATTAATAAATATATATATTGATAAGCAAATCCGATCAAGACATGATAATTGATATATAGATCCACCAAACTAATTTAATTGTACCAAAAAATATAACAACAAGATTCTTATTATTAATAATAATAAAGAAAAGAGAAAACAGTGATAAATGAAAGACACACTCATGTGGTTGACGAGAAAAAAAAATTAATAACACGTTCGATGCACGTGATTATTGGGAAAAACAGATTAAGGGGAACATGCGACTCACTATTATTATAACTAATCGTCATCATGGGACACTAATCACGAATCACAAGCCATTGTTAGTTTTATAATTAATTGTCATTATCAACAAAAAAAATTGTTTATTGAATTTTTTTATTGGTAATGCATATAAATGTTACATAGATTGAAAACAAAGATAAAATAAATTTTATTTATTTTGGTGTTGTTTGTTGCCTTGATTTCTAATTACATACATATTAGAGATAAAAACTTCAATTAATTAGTTGGTGTAGTGCTTTTTCTAGATTTATTAAATGTGTGAGAACCATTAATTATATATCTCAACTAATAATAACTAGCGAGTACAGAAAATGAAAAGTGGTAAAATTGAAAGGATAAATAGCATTTACTCCTATGGTTTCCAACTTTGTGCGTATGACTCCTTTATACTTTTAATATAGCACATGACCCCCTTGTATTTTAATAGTAACACATAATCTCCGTATACTTTAAAAAATTCCCTCATCGACGTGTTATGTTCACAAAGTCCAAAGTACAGAGGGTCATATGCGTATATTGAAACTATAAGGGAGTCGTGTGCACAAAGCTCAATATACGTTAGGTTAAGTGCAATTCAGCTAAATCAAGAAGTGATTAATAAGTTGAAAAGTAAAAAATAAAATAAAAAGTGATTACTGATTATACTCCCTCCGTTTCTAAATAATTGTCGCTTTTTAGTTTTCACAAAGATTAAAAAATTCAATAAATATATATTGATTTTAGAAAAATCATATAAAAATGACTAAAACAACCTTTAACATTTAATGATTTATAAGAGAAAATTAATGAATAGAGTTTCATTAATAAGGTTAAAACAGGAAAAATGTATTTAATGCAGTATTGGAAATCTAAAGTGACAGATAATATGGAACAAAAATATTTTAAAAAAGAGACAGTAATCGTGGAACATAGTGAGTAAATAGAGAGTATTGAACTTTAATCATAGTATGCGTGTGAATGTGACAATTTATTACCCCCAAAATTTATGCAACAAAATTCAACCCACCATTGGTGCAGAAGCTAAATAAATACAGATATTATTAAGAAAATATATATATAAAAAATTCAATTTATTTATTTATTGTTAACTAATAAATATAAATCGTCCAACTGCAGAAGCTCACAAATAATTCCACCCAACCCAATAAATACATACAATTGACCATTCTATATCAACACTTGAATACCTCACTTCGCCACAGCTACTCCATTAACTCATCCCACCGCCGCAGCACCGCCGTCGTTCCATGTATTAACTATACAACCACCACCACCACCACCACCACCACCACCAACACCACCCATTATTAATTAGAAACACCACTGATGGGTTGCTGCGCAAGCACCCCCAAATCGACACGGCCAACAAAAACACCACCCCACCACATTGCCAACTCCAAAACCACCACCACCGCCAAACGGAGCAGCATTAGCAAATCTCCGCCGCCCACCCACCCACTCCTCGAAGAAGAAACGGTGAAGGAAGTCCTCTCCGAAACCCCCGCCGCTCCCAAACCGGCACACATCCCCCGATTCCAAGGCAGTATTCATCGGCGGAGCGAGAGCCCGTTCATCAAATCGTCGCCTCTGCTCTCCGACTACTCTAGAAACGGCGCCGTATGCAAGAAGCCCTTCGCCGCTTACGGCGGCGGCGAAGATCTCTCCGAGGAGGTCTCCGAGATCTGCAGCACCCTCGGCGAGAGCGAGGGTGTGAGTGTTTCCACGACAATGACGGAGAAAAGAGATAACAATGACGAATTACGTGAACTCCGGCAGAGATCCCCTGCCAGGTTAAAGAACCGGCCATTTTCCGGCGAGGTGAAGAGAGAAAAGACCGTTGGGAGATCTCCGGGTCGGAGGTCCGAACCCTCGCCCAGCCGGGCCAGACCCGCAAACGGTCCCGGGTACGTTAGAAGAAAGGATAGTGGCGAGAGCTCCGGGAGAAGGTCGAGATCTCCGGTGACCCGTACGACGGAGTCGGGTCCAGGAAGAGCGGGTCTGGGGCGGAGCCCATCAGGGAGGAAAACAGGTAAATCTCCGGGTCGGGTCGGATCCGGGTTGGGAGAGAGGATCCGGAAGATGGAGGAAGGGAAAGACAACAAGTGGCCACCGACAAATAACGAGTCGCTTGAAAACCCGCTTGTGTCCTTGGAATGTTTTATATTTCTCTAGATTTGCAGATGTAATTTTTGCAGCATCACTAGGGGTACTTTCGGCATGTAAAAGCTGTTAAGAAAACACCCCCTCTTTTGTTTTGTTGCTTTTGTAAATAAAAAAAAGTCAAAGGTAACTTTCGAGGGAGAATAAATAATTCCACTAATTACCATCCGCAAATATAGATAGCCCTAATCAAAATTGGTTAATTTTAAACTATAGATCTATATAAACACGGGATAACAGTCTATAAAACACTGTGTTATTACGCGTAAATTAACGGTGCAGGATCATCCTATGTATTTGAAGCCTTAAAGAATTTATATATTAAATATTAATGTTGTTATAAAAAAATAATTAATAATAATTGGGCACACACAAAAGTGTGTGAAATGAGTTTTCGGTTGTGAGTTAGGTAAAGAATTTAAAGGTATATAACTGAAAATAGATGATGATATGGCCATTTCCCAACAAGTGAGTTGGTAATAAATAAAGCAGGTAGCTAGAGCTATAGACTCATTAATGGAAGATTGTGATGAGTTGTGTATATGTGTATATACTATATAATGATGGCTGAGTCACGAGTCACGACTCAAACCTGGCAAATGAATAAAGTGGTGAAGTGGGGTACACTACAAAAGTTGATACAGTTTGAATATATATATATTTGCCAAAAGTAGGAGAAAGCGTGCTTCAAGATTTGGAAATTGGATTTTGCAGTAAAGCTACCAATTTTATATATTATGTATAATATATGGACCACTATTTGGCAATATTATATGTAGGATAGCCTTTGCAGAGCTTTGTTCTTCCAATTTGACATTTTGGAAATTCCAGAATTGTTTTTTTCTTGGTGATATTTGGATTCTTCTATTTGTTTTTTTTTTTAGTTGGAAAAAAAATACATAAACGAATGTCTGGAGGGTTCGAAAATTCAAACTAGGTGCAGACTGATTGATACACATTTTATATTATATAAATATATATAATGGAAATTGTTGTCGTTATATTACATATAGTGAATTGATACCCATTCTGGCACAGTTTATACGGCGTCGTATTCAGACATCAGTGACAAAATTTCATAATGGGCACAAGGAGCTGAAACCTGAAATGGAAGAGAGTTTTTACATATACTATACATTCAAAAACTAAGAGCTGTGTGCAAAAAAGAGGAGGGAACTCGAAAATTCGAAACAAGTTGAATGTGCATATATATATATATATATATAAAATATTAAGTGGGGTGGTGTAGATTATTAAGAATGGAAATGTGATGATGTGGAGGACACGTCATTCGCTCGGGTGGACAAGGCACTGGAGCTGGATGTGCTATAAAAGTAGGAACTTTATCACCTGGCATCACCACTGATACTTCTCTTGCACTTATTGATATCTGCCAATTTCAATTCATATTTTTCATAAGTTCATTACAATTTAGACTTTAGAGAGAGTGATGCAACTAATAACTAAAAGTAGGCTTGTGTAAAATCATAATCTTGTTAAAAAAAAGAGAGGGAAATTCCATTCACTCCAACAGTATTTTTCATTAATGAAAGACGAGTGTGCGACCATGTAGCCAATCAATGCGGGTAAGAATTACCAAGAAAATCGTCGAACTTCTCCAAAAAAACTAAACAAGAGAAAACAAGTGCCTAAACATAAATCGTCTAACACAAAAGATGGCCATACGGTAAAAACGAACAAGTGAGAGATGGTTTCGTGTCGTAATGCAACAATATCCTACCTTAAGAAACTTAAATCAAATTCATCATCCTAAAAGCCCAATAATCTTTAGTTTCAACACCACTTAATAATCCACGACAGCAAAAGTTTCGGGGTGTATCGAGCACATGTCTTCCCTTATCGGGCCCATTTTAAAAACATATAGAACAAAGATTATTCAATAACCAACATTATCCGGCCCTCGTTATAACTAAGTGTGTATGCATTATTAAAGTTGCAAAGAACCCAATTAACTAATATAAGAAAAAACAATGGCATTTGAAAAAATGGGCAGCCTGTCCCCATACCATAGAGGGTTTTCCCATCGCGAGCCGAATCATAAATCATAAATCATAAATAATAAATAATAAAAATAGGTTGGGTGAATTGTGATG